TATTGTACTTCCCAAGAACCTTACAGATATGACAAAGACACAACAACTTGCCTGTATAACGCTTGAGTTTTTAAAGTTCAGGAAGTAGCCACTACAGGAGACTAAAAGGCTTATTTAATGTCATATTGTACTTCTTTTTGAAATTGAAGTTATTAAGAAAGCATGGTCCATTTAGGATCACAACCAATACAGATACTAAAAAATAATTCCAATTACCAAAGACAATGAATAATGCCAATTTTAAAATTTAAAGTTTGTACGCTTCCTTATTTAGATCACTATTTCAATTCATAGTCTCCCTGTTATCAGAAACATCATGTGGTGTTATTTCTGCTTTTTTTTGTGGGTTTTTTTTCCCTTATTTGTGTTCTTTACTTTCTGAAACAGATGTGTAATATCATAGCCTATATTAATCCCTCTTCCAAAATATTACAAATAATTGGAGCAGATAAAGGCAATTCTATATATTCAACAGGGTAATAAGAGCATTTGAAAAGGTAGGGAATAATACAAGAAGTAGGATGCACAGGAAAAGGAAGTTATATCAGGATATGTATCAGGGAAAAGGGGAAAAGGTCACTTCAGTAAGTACACATACTTAACTGGATAGCATGAGAAAGAGCACAAAGAATATTATTGGCAAAAATAAAATTTCAAACTTTGAGCTGACTCCATTACGCCTTAGGACCACACATAGGTATCAAGAAATACTGTAGTTATATTGGTTTCTCTTTTCTGTGATTAACAGTTTTGAGTCATTTGTGCAAGAGTTGGAAATTTCAGGTGTAAACCTATCTTCTGTACCATTTTACTTTGCCATCTGTACCATTTACTTTGCCATTCTGCATCATTTTACTTTTGATGATGACATTTGTCATCATCTTGAATTTCTAATGAACTAGATTTTCCTTTAGACGTACTCTGGAATTAAGCCTGTCCATGAGGAGCTCATTGCAAAAGTTACATATTTAGAAATTCTTCCATTTAAGCACAATATTATTTCTTTTTTCATTTAAAATATGTAACTCATCAAAGTCTAAGCACATCAAATATGCTATACAAATATATAAAGTGTATCAGACACTGGTCATAAGCAGGTATGTGTGAACCAAAATTTAAAAACCTAAATTTTATAGAACAAACTGAAGTGCTATTACAACATTCCATCATTCCATCATCAAAACACACCAATAAGGCTAACAGAATATGTTGCTTCCTTCATTTAACTATTAAAAACATTATACGAAATTGCATGTCAGTTCTACATAAATATGCTGAAAAGAAAGATTAATATGGCCATCTAGAGGAGAAAAGAATGATGTGAAAACATGCCACACACATTTTCAGGCTTCAGAATAAAACATTTTTAGAGGCATGCAGCCAGAAAATAATATAGTAAACTAATTATGTAATTGATCATAAGTGAACCTTAAAATAATATGATCAGAAATTTTGATGGTCTTAGTAATGCAAACATATTAATATTATACATGTTTTTAGCAATGCAAGCAAAGCTTACAGGATGTATTAATAAAGAAAAGATTATATTTTTGTCTTGTGCAATTTTGTGTGCACAGTTACATGCAGACACATCTAAACAAACAAATTTTAAAAGTGAAGATTAGAGTGCAGCGTAAACAGTTATTAGTAAAACTGTTTATTGACTCCTTTGAAAACACACAGCATGCTGTTGCAAGACACAACATGTGATAGAGATTAACTGCTGAAGAGAAAATAACACAGAATTTTCTGAAAATGAAATATCATTTTAATTGCTCATATTACTCTACCTCTGATGGAATTTTTAATGGTATCATCAGACGCTGGTTTACTGTCAGTGAGCAGGGAGGAAACAGTGATGAGACAAAAATGAATTCTCTCCTCTCATCACTCTAACACTATCAAGCCCTGCTCAACATACGGACTGAGTGGTGCCTTAAGCTGGAAGTACAGCTGAGATGTTTAAATCTTAGAAGTAGAAATGATAAAGTACATATGAGGAAACAGAAGCACAAAGTCAAATATATTGACAATTGTTTCTCATATTAAATAAAGTACATAAGAACGCATTGCTTGCTCCCCCTCCACTACAAAGAATCAATAAATGGTTCTATCATTTCTCTTTACACTTACAAAAATAATTCAACAGTCAAAAAACAATTGTTAATGAAAAATTTCAGGATTTCTATGGCATCAAGTCTTCTACAGATTTATTTTTCAGGTTTAAGGAACAGTAAAGCTTTGAGGTTTCTTTAAATTACACTGAAGCATCTAGAATGCTGATAGTCTCCACTTGGAATCAGATTTTTAACCTCCTCTGTTCAGTGAACTGTTTCTGTGAACACATATGAACTGTTTGGTAGTGATAGCGAGTCTCTCACTTATTTTTGACTGCAGGCTTTCTTCATATGGTTTCCACCTTCTCTTTTCACCAAAGTTCTAGGCTGGACAGCTTTCCCTCTGTAATGATCCTAACATAACAAGGCATACTCTCTCTTTTCCTCTATTCAAACACATTTTTATCACTGTACAGAGATTCTTTTATGTTTGAAATAATTTAGGAAAAACATAAAAAGTAGTAACACTAATTATTCTAGTGTGCCACCTTCAGGTCACTGAAAAGTGAAAAATACTGGGTTCTTGATCTGTTGCCATATCCAACGCTACAAAACTCTTTAATACTATTGAACATAATTTTGTTGAGATTAATGGATTACAAAAATGAGACAAAATCACTCTAATTTGCAAGCATTTTGCAGAAAATTGCAGAAAGATTGCAGGCTATCAAATAAATAACACTGCTGATTCTCCACTCTTTGTAAAATATGGGAAGAGAATGTTCTCACAGGCAGCAGCAAAAGCAAAATACTGACAGTATTAAAGCTTTTCTGCAAGAAGTATGTGGTTACAAACTTACAGCTTTCTAAGTTAGAAAGTTTTGATAGTTTTTGCTTTAAATTTTTTTTTCCAAACCCTGAATGTTCTTTCACTATAATAAATTCAATTTGCATAGTAATTTTAGAGTGAATATATGTGTGCATATATATAAATGGTTTTTACGTCCAGCCAGCTTCCTGAATGGAAGGAATGTTGAGAAGGGATAGCAGCTGGTGACAGGTATCTTTAGCAATAGATGAAAAAATGGAAAAGGAGGAGGGCAAAACATTTGTAACTTTCTTGATGCCATACTCGGACTCGCCAACAGGGTTGTTTTGTCTTGGATTCTAAACATGATATAGATTTCCAGACTGGAGTTCTCATTCCCCAGAAGAGGATGAAAGTCAGTGACTATAAATTTTTATGGTCTGAGAGGATGTAAGACAATTATTAAAAAAAAAAAACAAACCCCAAAAATGGATACAGGCTAAAAAAAAGCTTTTGGGGCTTAAGTCTTACAAAGCCAAAGTAAAAAGCTCAGATGAACTGAGAACTTTTCACTGAGAAGATAGCTAGGTAGGATAAAAAAATCTGAACTGTAAAATAAAAAAGGAATGTCACATGTTCCTACCAACATGAATTATTCTACGATTATTTCAACAAGCAGCCTCAATAGTTTGAGAAAAGACAAATACATCATTCTCAGTATCTGAAAGTAGTCGTGTTTTATAATTTGTATCTGGTATTATTTGCTCATAAATACAATTGAGTTTTCCATCTCCTGTTAATATACAACACCATTCTTTCCCAACGGTGACATGAGCCATACAAAAATTCAGCATCTTATCTTTCATATTTCCCCCACCAACGCTGTTGATAGACCTCAGTAGATATTAAAAACGAACATAATACTTTTACTGTCCCGCTTTCTTGTTGTCCTTCTCCATCACAGTGTCCAAGGATCGATTCTTACCACCTGATCTCACCTCTGCATCTCTTCCCTGTCTGCTGGAACTCAGGCTCCTAGCCTCCCTACAATTTAGCAGCAAAGGAAAGAACCAAAATTTCCGATGATCAGAAAATAATCCTCTTATTCTGTAACTCACTTCAGTTATGGCTTTCATGTCCTTTGTGTCTTAACTTGGAATCATGAATGAGCATGCACTAATTCCACATTTCAGTGGCAAACAGACTTTTAGGTTATCGAAGTACATCATATAAAATTTAAATTTTTTTCAAGCATTTCTGGACTGTATAGAACATTTAAGGACAGACATCTTTTGATTACATGTACCCATTTTTTATTAGAAAATATCAATCTCTAAAAAACCTTTGCATTTTAGCATATTAAGGAAGACCAACAAATATCTTAATACAGCACAGCAACTATATTAGAATCTGACTTTTATGTAACTTCAACCAAAGTGCACTTTTCATGCTAGAAAACGGTTATGGACACAGTTCTCACATACAGCTATTTTCAAGCACAAAAAGCATATTGACAAAATATTGACAGCAGAATTCTCAGCCTCTATATCAGGTTGTCACCCTAACTTAAAGTCAAGAAATATATACCACAAAAGAAGACATCTATTGTTTACATCCAACTTTTAACTCCATGGAAAAATTACATTAACCTAATCTTTATAGTAATTTTGGTGATTTCAGGATAAGAAAAGATACAGAACATTCCAGTAACGCACACTGCAATGACCATATGCACCATAACAAATAACCAATTTCATTTTACTTTGCTCTTATAACAGCTTATCAATAGAGGAATAGCAGGTCTTCTTTGTATTTATAATACCACAGAATTCATCAAGAGTTGCCATGTTTCCTTCCTAAATAAAAAGTTTAAATTCCCCCCAAAATAAAATGACTCATGATAAAATTGTATGGATCTTAATATAACAAAAATATCATATCATTTGCAGTATTTCCAGAAGAATGGGCACAAGACTGTGCCTTTTTTTTTGAGCATGCACAAATGTACAAGGTATCTGGATATTCCTTGTAGCCATTGACTATTTGCAAGTCAAGCTGTCCTCTTCTAGGACTTACTTATCCAGAACATAATTCTGAAATTTGAAATAAAAGGAATGCTTTTAAATCACTCTTACCTTCATCTATTGAGGCTTCACTACTGTATCCATCATATTCAGCAGACAGGGGACTATATTTTTGTCTGGTTTCCCATATATAGTTTTTTTGCTGTCTGCCATCCACCACTGGCAGCCTGGAACTCTGGGTTCTAGACAAGGCCTCATGATATTTACCCAGTGCTTCATCTTCACTCTCAGATGATGAACCATGCTGGTCTTTACTCATATAAGAGTTGTCTGTTTGAATAAAATAAAGCAAATCGACTACAGCTCAAAATAGAATACAAGAAAATAACCATAAGAGGTTATCACTGAAGGTATTTAAGCCATTTCAATTAAAATTTCTGTATAAAAATATCATCCTGTTGTAATTATAAGTATTATGTGATTTTGTAATTGGTGAGAGCTATTTTTATTTTCTAGAAAAACTGAAAGATCATTAAGCCCCAACAAAACATTCTAAAACTTATTCAACAGAAAATCGATCCATTTATGTAAGGCAGCACACACTGAAGTTCCTGAAACCCTTAATTAAGTAAGAAAATGCTCAAAATAATTTATGTAAAGTAAATCCAACACTGCTGCAATATTACATTCGGATATCTAACATATCCAAAAGGCAGCTCCTGATCCTCCATTCCCAGATGAGTTTTTGCTGTGAGCATGCAGTATAATGTAGAAATTAAACTGATTTACAAAGAGAAGCCTACAACAAAATCGTCTTAGGATATTTATGTCAGTGGTGCTTAAACTCACAATAACAAATGGGAAAAAGCTAGTGAAAGATGTTTGCATGCACAATTTTGTTTAACTTGGAATAAACAGCCCCTTGTTCAATAACTGAAATTAATGCAGATTCTCATTGCAAACATCTGGCAACAGCAAAAATTGCACAGAACTATCTAGTTAATTCTTTTATACCAGTTCCTCTATAATGCCCACTCCTGTGACCAACTTTTCCCAACTGCATCTCAAGTATGACTTCCTCCCACAAATCAAAGATTAGCTGCATTTTTATGTAAAAGGAAAGCTTTCCCCCCCCTTTTTCCAAAGCTCACATGGATTTTGTCCAAACTTAACATGCCATGCAGAGATTCTGTAGATCTCAAACTCTAATAGGCATTAAAAGAATTCATGTAAAGTCAATAAAGGTCAGCATTACCACTACTCTGTGAGTGAGCCTATAGTATATGATTTGCCAATGAATTTCCATTAGAGCAGAGTCTGAGGTGCCCAATAACACTGTTTTTCAGCTCCTGATTCTGCCTGCAAGGGAATATTGTTGAACACGCTATCCAGCCATGCTCAACTGCTTCTCCCCTCCCTGCTTTTATGCCCTCCTCCTAGTCCCTGTCCTAGCTCTAGTTCTGCATTTCCACTCCCATGTCTTTGTGCCCAGCCAGTCTCACTCCTCTGGCCTGGGTATTCTGACTAAAAGAGGGATTCAACTTACTTTAATTTTAAATGGCTGAATTTTGGGTAACTCAAATTATGCCAGCCATCTAGGCTGCTTTCATAGACAAGCGTTTGCCTCTTCCTACTACACAGGTCCTTCCTTCCCACTTTTAGGTAAGCCTCTAGAGTAGATGAGTAAAATCACTTCCCATAGAAGTGATTCCCTGGTACTCATACAGAAAAGTCTATGCTACAAGTTTAGGTAAGACATCTTTTGCAAAGTTACATTTATATGAGTAGAATCTTATCCTAAGTTCCTGTCTCCCGGCTCCATACTCCAGGTTCCTGCTCCAAGCACCCAGTTTTGGTCTCATGGGGATTTCCTCTTTATTGTCCTTGGCTAGTCAATGCCAAATTCTCTTTACTTGCACCTAACCAACTACTTATGTAACCTTAGTCTTTCACCCTTAGTCTCTCCATCTTCACGTAATATTATCAGGCCTCTCCACAGCTGTCACCCATCCTACTTCATATCCCAGTCTATCACTTGCATCACGTCACATTTGTTCAGGAAGTTAAGTCATGCTTATTTTCAATTCTTCCATTCAAACTTCCAGTGTCCTTCAGTAACCGTAAGTATCAAAAGCAGGATAAAACCTGCTCTGTTCTTCAACCCCTACAGTGAAGCATATGAGTGCAAATGGGATGGTCAGTGAATTTAACAAGCAAATTATAAGAACTGTTTGCTATGCCTTTTCCAAAGGAAAATTTTCCAATTATTTGTAACTTGGTCAAGCTTACATGTTTTTTTCATGGAAGAACATGGGCATCTCTGACATGGGAAAAGTGCTCTCCCACATTTCAAATATGTACTCCAATATACAAAGGTGACAAAGCATCTTAGTGAAGCGGATATGAAATCTACTTATTTTTTGCACAGATAACCAGCATGTTTTCCTCATACTCTATTCCTGGAAACAGCTAAAGATTTTAAACTATAGCTTAAAAAAAAAAAATCTCAGACAGAAAGCATGCCAAATTTAATCCCAAATATTTCAAATTTGTCACACAGTTATAAGCAACTGAAAATAAGGTCTTGAAAAGGAAAATGTCAGAAAACCTTAACTGCAGATGGTGCTATCAGTTCTACGTGCAATGTGTACATAAATCTTAATTTAGTATTTATAGGAAAACTGGTGCCTTATAAGACTGCTAATGAGCAACTACATCTTTCAACTCCAGGCTATCAATTTTAATTCAAGTCTGACAGATACAGTTCTTCCCATTGTATGGATGGCTATAAGCAAGTTCAATTTCACTGATCACTTGTTGAGAATATCACAGCAAGCAAGATACATTCTGGCTAGCAGACTCACTACAAAAGGCTGCCCAGAAAACAGAGCCTCCTTTGCTGGTACACTGAGTAAAATTTTGTATCTCACATGGCCCTCAACAGGTTGAAACCTGCCACCTAGGAAATTTCTACAGATTTCTACAACTATAATTAAAGCAGGGCATACCAGGACTAACATATAGAGACAGACTTCAGTATTAGATGCATCATTTATCATTACAAGAAATGTATTTACAATATGAAATTAGGTTCATTAATCAGTCTGCATGAAGTATAAAGATAGAAGAGTACAAAACATGGTAGCAACACGTTTGAAAGAAGTGCTGAAAGTTATGCCTCTAATCATACACTATGTTTGTAAGCATCCAGAAGTTCTCAGTGATACCAGATTATTTTTTCTCCAGTTCCTAACATGAAAGAAAAAGAATGAGGATGTATACTATTATGACAAGTCATGAAACAAGACTTCTTCAGAGGACTTAAAAACCTCATTAAAGTTAAAACACAAACTATCCATGCAAACATTTTTAAAATTAACAATACAGACCTCTTTCATTTTCTTGGGAAATAATAGCTTCCTGCACATTAAAAAAAATGCTCAGGGTTTTATGCCTCTCCTTGCCACTTCTCTTTTGATTTTTATATGTTAGTTGGAAACTTGCCTAAGAGAATTCATGTTCTTATTAAAAACTTCCCTTTATTTGGCTAACACAGGTCACGTTGAAAGCTATTCATATGGGACCTAAAATGCCATTTTTGACAGAGAATATACTTTACAAATACTGTATTACATGAATAAATAACAGATAAGATCATAGTTTACCATACAAACATAGAAACCACGCCCTAAACCAAATTAAAAAAAACCAAACCAAAACAAAAAACAAACCCCAAAATTAATAACTGAAATTTTCAGATAAGGGAAAACATGCACACTGGGAAAAAAACCCCACAACTGTTTTCTATTACAAAATCATTCATTTTTCTACAGAAACAGCATTTCCAGAAAAGCCTGTGTTGCTTTCTAGAAATTCACGACGCAGCCTGCAAAACAATTGTGTAAAAATGCAAGGTTTTACTTCTTACTCACAAACTATTACTGCAATCTCATTGTCATACTGTTTAAGACTGGATGTTGAAGATGGCACACGCAGCATCCGTATCAACAATACATAGGTTTTCATTGCAAGACTACAAATTTAAGACAAGCCTCATTCAGTTCTTTCTATACTTAAAATCACTTAATTGCCACTTGTCATTGAGTTTTGTGTCTTGAAATTACTATCTTATATATCCCAGAAACACATTCTGAAGAACTACTATAATGTAAATGTAACATAAGTTATTTTTTTCTTTAGTATCTTTATCATCACATTTTATGCAATGTTTTTAAAATACACAAAATAAAAACCACTTTCACAGAACAAGTGTTAATTTCCAGTATTAATTAATTCATAGTTTTCAACAGAAACTACACAAGGCACTGCAGAGAAGGCAAGAAAACCTGTATATAGAAAAAGTTAGAACACAGGAAAGGCATTTATTAATTGGTTCCTTTCAGTAATACTTTAAAAAGTAGTTAACTTCCAAGAAATACCAACATAATTAGAGAATGAAGCACTGACAACACAGACCTACTTTCATCCACAGGCAACGCTATTATTAAATGTGTAAATTAGGTGAAAAAAGTAGGAAGTATTGTAAGTTTCAGGAAAGGCTGAAGAACGCAGTTTGCTGATGGATTCCTCACCTTTTCCTGCTGTCTTCTTATTACATAGCTCTCTTGACTTCTTTTCTGATTTCTTTGAGTTTTTCTTTTTATCCGCTTTTGCAATCGTAGTTGACACATTGTCTTCATCCTTTGATATGAATTTTCCTTTTCTGTCACAAAAGGCTTCAGATTTCTTTTCTTTGATTTCCTTAATGCAATTGGGATGGTCATTGTGTGTCTTCAAGCTCGTGTCTGATAATTTTTGGTTCTCTACTTCAACAAGTTTTGTTTCTGAATCTTGGGGAACCTTCATACTGTACACTTCTTCGGAGTCCTTCAGATCAACTCCAGGTGATCGTGGTTTGATTTTTCTATGCAAGTGATTCTTAGAATTATCTGATACTGCACGTAGACAATTATCTTGTTCCTCAATAGATTGCTCCACTGTAAATTTATTACTTTTCAGGTTACTATCCTTCAAGAACTTATCATTTACAAAACACGCATTTCCTCCTACTGCTTCCCTTTTAAAAAGTCCTCCCACATTCTTCAAATCCTGAGGTACTTCTGTGTCACTTAAATGATTATTACTATCTCTGCCTTTTAACTGGCACTGGTTTTTGTCCACAACGTGGTCAGATACTCCATCTTGACTTGTATCTTTTTTTACATCTAATGAATTAGAATAATGAGTCTCTGTATGTTCTGCAGTATCTCTCTTCATTTTCATATTAATTTCCTGAAAACGAGTTAATGATGGTCTATGCTCCTCTCTCTCCTGCACAGGTTTATCATTCTGTATTTTGGAGCTCTCATCTTCCGCACGAAAGCCATTTATCATGCTTGTTACTTGTTCTGTTACTGAATCAGCTACACTGTAGCCAACTTCTCCAACAGCACTGGTCAGATCATCCACAGCACTGCTAAGCGTGTCAACCAGAGAAGACACTGAGGGGAGGCTCAGGTTCTGGTGGAGGTTTCTGAAAAACGCCATTTGTCCAACCTATTCAGCAACAACTTTTAATTCAGAAAGATCCTCCGTTTCACAAACAGATCAACTCCATTTCTCCAAGTGCAATTTCAGGGCTATTTGCTTTTGCTATCTCAAACTCAATAGATTTACCAGGGGAAGTTGCAGCTTTGCTCTTTCCATTCAATAGGCATTGAAAATAATAAGAAAGCAGCTAAGCAAATATCTTGAAATGAAGCCACAATCAACCAGCAAAACCATAGTCTTTCATCAACTGCAGCATCAACTAGCCATAATAAAATTCATTATTTTCAAAAATAAGGCAACTGTGTGAGGTAGCAATATGGGTTTTTTATTCTAGCCTGCAAAGAAGAAGTTGTAAGACATTTAAATTATGCCCTTTTATCAATGCCATACTAAAACAAGCTTTTAACATAATAGTTGCACAGAAACACGCACCATGGAGACTTCTTCACCCCAAAATATTTGTTGACTTTTACATAAGGTAAGATATTTCAGAACATGAAGACTTGTTTTGCAGCAAAAAGAAAGTTAAGATGACGGATTTAATTTCTAGGGGGGAGAACTTTTTCTGTCTCCAAGAAAATTGAAAATAAAAATTTAGCTGCACTTTTTAAAGAGGTAGAAAGGAACAAGACTTCTCAAATTTACCATTCTGTTCTCTGGTGCCTGCCTCTTCCTCTCAAGTCAGTCAACAAAGCCCATTCAATTTCCACAGCCCCAAAGTAGAAAGGGGTTATTTTACCAACCCTCAACATCTTTTTCAAGGTCTATTTTTTTTCATGTCACATTATCTTTAAAGACCTTGTTCTATTAAAAAAAGTGTAGAAATAATGTGTTAGTCAGAGAGAAGATGTCTTTACTTTCTAATGTTTTAATTCTTTCAAATTGTTTTCCAGTTGAGCAAATGCAAGACCTTCTCCAAAAGGTTGGTGAAGGATTTTAATAGGCTGAGTGAAAACCCAATAAACCCATTCATAAATTTACTTGAGAAAATTTAATTACACACGATTATGGAACATATAAAATACATTCAAGAGTATTCTCATAGTGCAAGAGAAGTATCTTCCCATAAGTAAATGTCAACTCTTTGATTATATAGCTGTTGAATTTCTGTGGCTTGTGAACACAAAGGTCTCTTTGTTTCCACATACTGCACAGTCACGGGGGAAGTCAGCATTGTGTGTTTTAATCACTTAAGTGATTATTTGTGTATTTCTACACATCCTTGTGAAAATGTGCATTCTTATAATTAAGTTTAGTATGCTCTATTTCAAATACTTACAAAGTTTATCTTGTGAATTCTTTCTTGTAGTGTATCCTGAATCAAGATCTGGGAAACCACTAACATTTTCAAAACACATCTTCTTATTAATATACAGGAAAAGTAGCAACATGAGAATAATGAACACTCCAACAGCAGACAGGAATCCAATTGCTTCAGGAGATACTAAAAGAAACAGAAAGAAACACATTTTAATAAGTCTTCTAAAAGTTTAACTCATAAAAGTTATAATATCTATCAGAATTGATCACAAATAAATAATACTAAAGTTCCAAACATATACACAAGATATAACTGAAAAAACACCATTTAAATTTGAGTTAATGTTTAATACTGTTAAATTTAATCAGCTTTTTCTCTTCTGCTCATCTTTTCAAAGATCAGAAAAGTATCTGGTTCTAATCTGAAGAAGGAATGAAATTGTGAGCAAGAGGTTCTGAGTACTGGAGCCCATAACAAGACAGGGTCTCTGCAGAAGATGGGGAGATTATCAGCAGATTCCAAGGCTGGTGATTTTTGATGGAACATCTATGGGAGAGAAAGTACTGGAAGGGACCTAAGAGCATCCCCCATTCCTGGAAGGGGCTGGGGAGGGACTGAGCCCTTTCTGGTGAGGCCATTGCCTCTGTCAGCCTTGTTATGCTCAGCTCCAGGCTCTCCTTCCCTTAGGGACCAGCTGGCCCTCGCCGCTGCCTGACAAGTCATATACTGAGCAAGCAAAAACCAGACTGAGAAAAAGCACATAACTGTATGGTCCTTGCCCTGGTATGTGTGCCACTTGCATATAAACCAAGAAAGAGCTAAGTGGAATAGAGATAAAGCATACTTAATCAAAACCGGGTAGAGGAAAACAGGCTGAAGCAGACTGACATGTCTTAGAAAGCATATAAAATAAAGAATATGTAATTGCTATTAAGCAGATAACTGAAAGGGAGTATTTGGCATCTTTTGCAGGGACAGAATCTTGCAAGTCCATCAGTACCTAAGTAACAACTTCAGTAATAACATTTAAGGCCAAGATTACCTAGGACATGGTTTTAGAAATAAGAAATCTGGGAATGGAAGTAGCAAATTGGACCAATTGGAAAAGAGTAATTAAGGGGCAGCTTGTTTATTTGAAAGGAGACTGGGCAGAGAAACGGATCTAGAAGGGTGGCAAAAAGAGGATCTAGAAATGAAAGAAATAATGAACAAGTTATAAAAGCAGTTCAAGAACAAGAGAGGGCAGATCTTTTGACAGAAGGAATGTAGATGCCCACAGACTATAATGAAGCTGACCTGCTTCGTTAATTGAGGCTGCCAGGATGTCAGAGGGAAGCCCCTCAATGCAACCCACTGGACTCTCCACTGTGTCTAATTCTGAAAGACTTGATGTGAGAAGCTAAAGAGTGACAGAATTGCAAATTTGTTAATAAGTAGTGTGGGAGGTTAAAGTGAAGGGTTATAGAAATATAATTCAATAATATTTGGGTGCAATTTTTAAGACTAAAGTGATATAACTGTAATTGCATGCAATTAAAAATGGTGCAAAGCATTACAGAACTCTAAGTGATTCATAGTGATATGTTTATTAGTTAATTAATCTGCCCACTGGTTTAGTAGTGCGCTGATCAATCAATAAACATTATAGCCCCTTGTATCAGTTATGTCTCAAATCTGCATTCTAAAGAGGGAGCGTAAGACCTCAAGGTAACAGACACTTTAACGCTCAGAGTGGTTTTTGTGGCCTAAATACAGAGGTGCATCTTTCGGGATAGAACATGGCTGCATTCATCTGGATGAAAGCTAGGTTTTCACATATCCCTTTCTTCCTGCTGTTTTGCTAGACTCTTAAGTGTCCCTCTACTCACGACTATAAATCCCATTCCTGGGATTGATTTTTTTCTATTTCTGTAAGATTTATGAAGATTTACCAGACTTATGAATTCTGTTTGCCAAGATCTCGGTGCTTCATTTCAGGAGTATAATGCTGTGTGGCAACATCTTTCACTACGTAAAAAGGAGTGGGATTAAACAAAACTTGGCAACATTCTCTGCATTCTCAGAGATGTAATACAAAAGGAGAAGAGGGAACAGGCTGAAGTAGCAACAAGGAACATTCCAGTTGGAGATGAGGGGAAAAAATTCCAGAATAAGAGGGGTTAATCACTGGAACAGACTGCCTAGATCAGTTACAGAATCCAGTTTTAATGTAAGCCCTGCTTTGAGCAGGGGACTGAACTGTGAATTACTTTCCCAGAAGCCCTCCAAATTAAATTATTCTCTGAGTCTACATATGCCCTTTGTAAAACTGGGCTCATATATCTATGTAATGATATGACTGAGAAAAACACACAGTTCCACAACATTCTCAGTTTGTTTTGGGGGATGACAGGGAACATTTGTGTTTGTGGTGCTGTTCTTAAATAATTGTACAGGTGTGTTTTAAAAAATGGAAAAAAAAGATCAAAAGAAATGCACCTTATACTACCTAAAAGGAACTGGTCAGATTTGCACTTCTATTTTGAGCATCCAGACCTATCTGAAACTGTAAAAATTATTTTTGCTTCACTTTTTACCTCTGACCAGAAGTGATCATGAACATTGTGTCTAGAACCCTGAAAATTTTCACACGAAAAAGGAACCTGCCAAAAACTTCAAACCACCCATCCTGACAAAACTATTAAAGAAATACCAGAATGGCAACCAAAGAAATCCCAAAAGGGTGAAACACGAACCCCAATTAGACTAGAACCTCTACTTAGTCAGTATCAAACTCGAGTAAATTTTTTTCTTGTTTTATTATTTTAGGGAAAAAATTTTTGACTGAAAGGCTTGTCAAGCATTGGAACAGGCTGCCCAGGGAAGTGGTCGAGCCTCCATCCCTGGAGGTATTTAAATGACAGGCAGACGAGGTGCTTAGGGACATGGTTTAGTTGTGGGATGGCAGTGTTAGGTTAACAGTTCGACTTGATGATGGGTTGGATGGGGCTCTGCTCACTGCAGGGGGGTTGGACTAGATGACTTCTAGACATCCCTTCCAATCCAAAACATTCTATGATTCTCTGATCTTAAAGTTCTTTTCCAACCTAAAAAATTCTATGATTATATCATCCCAGAAAACTTATGAAAAACATGAGCAGCTCGCAACTGAGTTAAGTTGGGAACATTGTCTTCTGAAGAACTGAAGGCAAAACTAGAAATAATTGGAAACCTTTTAAATTTGACCTTCACCTTCCAACCCTCTGAAGTCCAAGAAAGAACAAGAAATATAAGAATAAGAACACAGTATAACTGCTTAATAGGGCCAGAATAAAATAAACAGTGCAACAGGGAGGAACAGGCATGCAGTATTTTCTATTTCAGACAGTACAACAGAAATACAAAGACCCATAGAGCTTCAGAGTTCCCTGTCAGCCTTTCAGGCTGAGGCATCCTGCTGCATCAAGCAGAGCAACAAGGTGAGAAAAGTAGAATTACATTCTGGATCAGAGAGGAAAGGAATCTAAAACTTTAAAAAACCCCTTCATTTTCATGAACAAATAGAAAAAAAAATCCCTTTGTTCACAAAAGACCTTGGTTGCACATCCTACTAATATTCCCTGATGTTCCCTTCAGAAGTCTGTTTGGAGTTGCTCATAATTTAATTAAAATCACTTGTTATAGCTGAAGTTTATGGCAACACTGCCATACACTGCCATACTGCCTCACACTGAAGGGGTTTTGTTTGTTTTTAAGTTCCCCAAAAAATAGTTAAGCTGTGACCAAGAATGAGCTGAAGAAGAAAAATTACCACTACAGTGGTGACTTTTTTTTTTTTTAAAGCCCTAGTTTTAACCAATTTAGAGCAAGGAAAATTTGGCACGTGTCAGGTGTTCATTCATCATTTGTCAGGTGTCCATTTATCATTTTCATGGAATCTTCCTAAATATGGGAAAGCTCCGAGATTTGACAAGAGCCTCAGTTTGTGTATATTCATTTTTGACCCCAAAGTTTAACCAATGAAATCTCTCCAGGTTCTGCTGGCAGTAGGCATGCTCCTAGCTGAGAATGTCTGAGGCTATCGGAACAACATCCAGTTTTCTTTCAATAATTGATCCTGACCCAAATGAGACTAGAGACCGGGCCAAGAGCAGATCTTAATTATTTAGGAACAGTTCTAACACCTATCAAACACAGAAGCAGTGGCAGAAAAGGCAGGAAGAAACTGCGATTCACCAGGACACAGGGACCAACATGAGTGAGAGTGAAGTGGAAGGTGGCAATTAGGCATAAGTTAATATGTCCAGTGAGGACATGGGAATTATGAGCTATGAAGAAGGTGTAACATTGGGATGGAGTACACAGAACAAGTTGGAGAGTGAAGAGAAGGCAGAAAAAGATGACAGATTAGGAAGACTAGACAGATAAAGATAATGGGACCACAGAAATTTAGCTGAGGATAAATGCTTTATTATTGGAGCAGGCTGTCCTAAGCAACTTTGCCTGAATTCAGTGTCAACACCTCTTTGAGCAGGAGATTGAACTGAATTCCAATTGTTCTATGATTCACAATAGAAGGACAGTGAATGCTTTCTTTTAATAGGATAGATGAACTGCACAACATCTTCAGAAAAAAGTGTACTTTCAAGTATTTCACATTTGATCTTCTAAAACTGTAGGTTAAAGATTTAATGTTTAACTTTTTTTTACTTATGCTAATATTGTTCAGCAATCCAAGCTGCTTTGATCCATCAAAATATGCGCTGAAGGAAGTTAGCCACGATCTAAATGTAACTTGAAAATACAATACTTTTTTCTTGAGTACTGCCTGGATACTAATTAGTTAAAAAAGGCACTGTATGCAAACTGTATAGTTCTCTACAGAAACACAGTATCTGATGACATCTTTAGGAGTGAAAAAAAAAAATGGCTGATACCTTACAAAGAGAATGAAACTTTAGCTGCAGCAAGACTAATTAATTATTTATGTAATTCAGCGTGAACATAGGACTTGAAAATTATATTTCCGTATCAATTTGCATCCATGTAAAGAATCTTAGAATGCTTGTTCACAGATTAAGTACATTATCAAGTTAAAAACCTTTAATGCATTACCATTATAAAGCCAGAAAAAAAAACCAAATAAAACTGTACTTCAATTTTCCA